TAGGTTTTTCCAATTCCAAGGTACAGAATGTTCTTTATTCATGAAGATCTGATCAAGAGCATATCTTTTCCCCTCGCTCTTACAGGAAATGTGCAATATTGGGTAAAAATGTGCTGTTATTTCCCACCTAATCACATCTCCGAGGAGCTGGGACTGTTTGTCTCACCCTTCAGGGAGGGCACAGACACACACAGAGCCCAGGAAGAAATAAAACACTGTTCAGTTGTGACCATTCAAAGTTTGGCAACCACAACCCATCTGTGACCCTGTGCTCTGCAAGCTCAGGTCCATCCAGATCCTGCTCTCTCTCCCACCAGCTGTGCTCAGGGAATGTCCTGGATAATCACCTCTTGGCCACAGCTTTACCTGCTGCTTGTCATCCAAAGACAGGCAGTATCCACTCTGTAATGGATATGAATTATTTATCTCTACCTGCCCTCCTCATTTACAGCATCTAGGCACATTATAAAAAGCAATATTCTAATTCAATTTAGTGGAGAGAAATTCTTTATTGGCCCACTGAGAAAAGGGCAAACCTGCAGATCTTCTGGAGATGGTGTAATGAGCTGCAATAACAGCAGGATGAGGCACCTGCATCTCCTGGCTCTGGCTCAGTTAACTCCTCCCAGCTCTTCTAGTCAGCAATTTGGAAGCCCAAAGCTGGACACATGCAAATAAACCTTGGAAAGGCAAGGCAACCAGCTAAAAACCAGAGTAATTTCTCAGGTGAAGCTCATTCCCTAGAGCTGATGCATCAAAATCCCACTGGCCAAGCCCAGCTCAGGGGCTGGACCCTCATCCCTGCAGGGTCTGTGCTGACCTTTGGAGACTGGAGTTCACACACAAACACACTCTGGAGGTTTCCAATGACCCATTTTAGAGTCTGACACTACGTGGCAGGAGCATCTCGTAACAGAGGTGATTTACCTGTATTTTTTCTAAGAGGAATTACAAAATTAAGGTTTGGAAAATAACGTTTTTATTAACATTTAATTGAGAAAGGAGATTACTTGGCTGAGGTAGGAGAAAAAAAGTCCTAAGTTATCCCCAAGGGCTTTCAGAATTAAACTTGGACACACCTGAAGTCAGTACCAAGGCAGGGACAGCTGCCTTGTCACAATTCAGCAAGTGGCACTTAAAGCTCAAAGCCAAGAATTATCAAATGCAAAGACAAGTGGAAGAAGAGGAAGAAAACCAGCTGGACTGATTTGGGGGAAAAAGATGACAAGAGGTAAAACAAATAATTTAGTGAACAGTTAAATGGATATATAGAGCCAAAAAATCCGTATGAACAAACTCAGTGTCCCAGTAATGCTTCCAAACTTCCAGATCCTTGTGTATCTGTTCTCTCAATAAAAGCTTTAGGAAAGCTTCAACCAAACCATAGTAAATAGTGACTGGGGAAAATCATCTTGGGAATGTTTTTCAGCTCATATCATTGTACTTTTTATTAAAATACACATAAATTTATTCTTTCCAAGATGAATTACAGTCACAATTGCCCAAAACTTTGTAAATGCATTTTTAATCCATGTTTTGCAAGAGCTATCCCAACCCTTCACCCTTCTTAGGATCTAACTGGCACTTAAGTATCAAAGACAGATTTGCATTTCAAAAGCCAATTAAGAAAACACACTGTACCAAGGCACTGATTAAAGGGCTGTGGCTTTACATAAATTAGGCAATTTCTTTGACTTTCCCTAGTTTGAACCCATTGCAACAATGAGGAAATCCTGCTCATTATAGGGACTGTCTGACCATCACACCTCCCTCCCTCCCCTGCCCTAAGAAACAGGTGATGACAACCTCATCCTTCATTTGCTGGCAGGAGCCAAACTGGGGAAGCCCACACTTAGTGGGAAAGAGAGAGATGTGTCCTGAAACTGCTGATCATTAAAGAAAGCTAACACATTTCCTGCTGTTTGCAGCTCCTAAAAATCAAAGATTTACTCCTGGAAGTCTGGTAGAACAGCAAACACCTCACAACTGAGGAGCAGTAGCACACAAATCCAAGATACAGACTAATTCAAGTGCTGAATTCCAGTGTTCTTTCACAATGTGGTATTTTATCGTATCTCTGACTTGTTTTTTAAATCTAAAGAAGGCAAAGATCAGTTTCTTTAGGAGTCTCAGCTGCCACAGAAACTCTGATTTCTCACCCCTCCAAAAACCCAAAGGGTGAAGGCTTCTCATGGATTATCATGCACAGAAAAGGTTCTTAAAAAGCACATTGGTGACCTGCCACCATCCCTTCCCTGCCCACACACCTCCACAGCACTGCCAAAAGCAGACACTGGGTAAGAACCCAAGACAGTCTGTCTGTAACAACTCCTTCAGCCCCTGCCTGAGCACTCCACTTGTGTTTGGGCTTGTTTTTCCCACAGTGGGTCCCTGAGCCCCTCTGTCACCTCACAGCCCCTGCACCATCAGTCACCCTACAGCTGCAGTTTCCAACATCCAAACCTTTTAGATCCATCAGGTTAGGATATACAGAAAGCCCTTTCAATAATCTGAGGAGCTTATCTCAGTGTAGCACCTGTCAGCCCTTCCTGCAGGACTCAGGAATTGCTCAGCACCATCCACTGGCTCCTGGGGAAAACAGTGCAGTTCTGAGCCTAAACACTCCAACCCTGTATCCCTTCATTTCTCTGATGAAACACAACATATTTTTACTGGATTTCCCTTGCCCTGGCCCAAGTGACTCACCAGAACTGTCCTTTTCAGGCAGTGAAGTTATTTAATGAGTAAGAAGCTGTTCAAACATGCAACCCACGTTTCACACTATTCCCTTTTAAAGGGATGAGGTGCAGCACCACACACACACACAGCACAGGAACCCAAGATACCACTGCTCCATTAAGAGGGGAATTACCTCCCTCCCACTGGAATTCTGAGGCCAAGGAGAGATCTTACTATGAGAACTATCCCCACACTCACCACAGCCCAGAGCTTCCAATTAAAACCAAGAGGGCGGGAAGGAATATTAAAAACCACTGTTAAAACTGAGGGATTCAAATGAGGACCAGAAAACCAAAACAATTAAACCAGAATTTAAATATTCCATCACTTAGTCCAAAGCCTTCAGCAACCAAACCACCCTTCTTCCCCCAAGTACAGGACTGAACTCAGGGTAGTCTGGCACAGCTCTTGGCACTTGGCCGGGTTGGTAAATAGGATTTCACACCCTTCACACCCTTCACACCCCACATCTGACCAAGCTTTTGGAGCAGCAGCAGGAGGTTGCGGAGTGCAGCCAGAGGATGCTCTGGGGCAGGTTTCTGATGGACAGGATGGCATAAGGCAATACAGAACACGTGTCACAAGCATTTCCTCTAGTCCTGGACAAGGGAAGTACAGTTTTTATTGCAGGGAACTGATCGATAATCTCATAACGCAGCTGTCAGGCCAACGGGAGTCAAAGGGGCAACTTGTTCTGTTATGGTGAAGATCCATATTGCCTTGGGTTACACTGTATTTGTTGTGTTTTCTAGCAAAGATTTTTTTGAAAACAAAACTCACCACAACTGCCGTGTTGTTTGTTGTGGGTTTTTTTTTTCCCAAGGACTAAAAGGCTCTCAAAGATTCCATCATTTTAGAAATGTCCAATTAAAACAGCACCTTCTCCGTGGACACCGCGAAATGGAACTGGAGATTCGGAAGGCATTTTGGCTTTACCTTCATTTTTAACCCCATTAACCTCACCTAATGATCACACAGAGCAGGCTGATGACAGAGGCAGGAGGCTGAAGGAGCTCATGTGGAAAGCAGCAGAATTAATCCCGACAGCAGCCATGCAGGGAGGTGGGAATTGCTGAGAGAAGTGTGTGAGAACTGCTTTTATTGTCCTCATTGCCAAGAAGCTCAGAAACATATTCCTCATTTAGAGACTCTCCAAGTCACTCCTTCAAGGTATAAAAACCCCATTTCTTTTGTTTCTGACGCTGCTGATGTTTCCCAACAACGTTACAAGCCACGGTAATGGAAACAACACCAGAATATAAACGATGGGAAGCAGCAGCTCTGGGAGATGCCAGAGCCCCAGTCAGGAAAAATTCATTACCTTGAGACATTTATTAAGCAAAACAAAAAAAAAAACTGTTTGAAAAAGGCTGGCAAACATCATTAGAGAAACAAAGGAGAACTGCTTCATAGGCTTTTTCTTAGTTACAGCCCTTTATTTACCTTTTCTTTTTGGTTGGATTTGAAGTCTCACTCTTACTCAGGAATTGCAAGTTATGCTGTTTACAAGGCACACACAGTCTGACACTCCCAAGTCCTGAGATATAAGCAAATGACTGAAAATAGGCACTTTCCATAGCCATAATCTTTACTTTTATGTGCAAACTTCACTCCTTTACTGCTTTCTACCTCCTAAATAAAAGCTGTCACCAGTCAAGTCTAAAGGTTACTCCAAACACCAAGGCTGAGGTTATGACTTGGCCTTTTTAATGGAAAACTTGAAGCATTTGGTTGGTTGTTACTTTTCAAACTTCCTTGTTCACAGCTGACGCTCAAGGAACAGAAAAACACAACCCCAGCCCTCCTTTATCTGTCTTCAGGCCTTTCCCTACCTGTCTCCCAGTCCTGTCAGGATTGCACACCTGCCATGAGGAGCTTCCCAAATGTTTTACAACAGAGAGCAGAGAAAACATGTAAGTAGAAGAAGTTATTTTAAGGTTGTTTATACATAAAGAAAGCAAAACCCTGCTTTTTCCACCCTTCTAAGCTGTGGTAAATATTCATTTTGATTACAGGCACTCGATACTTTCCTTAATCCATTTGTTCCTTCCCTGATCCTCAGCATTTCCTGAGAAACCCCTCCCCTCATTGAGGTGCTTTGAGGAACACAAAACACGCCAACTTCCAGCTCGGAAATGAGATGCACAGTCCCACCTTCCCTGATAACTGATAAAACCATCATTTCTTTTGTTGGAAAGCGCTTTCCTCTTTTCCAAGGGCAGAGCACCATTTCCAGCCACACTTGCAGAGCAGAGCCTTACCTGCCACGGTGAGCTTGGCCGTCCTGCTGACGATGGTGCCCAGGCTGTCCACGGTGGCCACGCACTGGTAATGGCCCTCGTCGGGCTTGTTGTGCTTGGAGTGCACCACAGAGCTGATCAGCAGGGAGCCGTCGGGCAGCAGCTGCCGCCGGTCGTCCGACACCAGGTTGAGGAAGGTCCCGTCCTTCTTCCACTCGATCCGGGGCGCGGGGTCGCAGTGGGCCGAGCAGTTCATCACCACGGCGGCCCCCCGCACCGCCAGCACGTCCCGCGGCTCCTCCAGGAAGTAAAACGGAGTGAAGGTTCTCACCAGGGACCCTGGAAAACGCACACCACGCCGGTTTGGGGTTAGCTTGCCACGTCTCCGAACAGAAAATGCACCCTCCTCCCAGGATCCCACGATGAGCACGAGAGCCGTCGCTGCTCGCAACACCCTCTCCCCAAACATATTAACGATACCTCGGGCTGTGGGACAGCGTTTTCTGCTCTGACTATTTACACAGTGGACTCGCACATTCCAAGAAATTTTCATCCCTAAAACATGTTTTCCTGCTCACATGGCAACTCTTGTGTACTCTTGAGGCTCTGCTCTCAGCCTTTTTGGGGTGGGTGCCATTCACAGCAGTGCAGTCGTTCGGTTTGCGTAGCAAAGATTAGGAATCACCAAGAATAATCCAGGCCTCAGGAGAACGAGTCTCCAGTTCTGAGCTTAACACATCTTGAAAGTGCCATAAAGCATTTTTTTTACTCCCATTCCCGTCCAGGATAAACATGATTACTTTTCCATTTTAAGTATTCCCAAAAGAGTTCTATAATTAACATCTACTTTGCATTAAGAAGTGAATTTTAATTACTGTCTTTCTGGTGTATTTGGTCAAGCAGAAAGACTGGCTGCCAATATCACTTCGACTTGTCTTAGCTTAATCATCCAGAGAAAATAGAAGACAAATTCTTCCAGGGAAGAACAGTTTTCCACATAGCATAATGCTGGAGTGAGAGAAAATGGAGTCTTTTGGTTTTTAAAGCCAAGCTTAGAAATAGCATCAAGGCTATACTCATCTCAAAACCATTTAATCTTCCACAGTATGGTTGATAAAGAAACACTGAATTATGTTACAACCACCTTAAAGACAATTCTGCATTTAATAACAAGATTTGTTTCATTAAGTCACAGAATAATTCTGGATTTGGAGGAAAAGTACAACTCTGGAGGCGACCTTTCCTTGCAAACAAAGCCTGTTCTGCAGCACTGCAGCTTCTTCAAATGCCTGGTTGTTTGTGGGCTTTCTAAAATCGGATTTACCTTCTAAAATGACCTTAATTAACAAATTGATACGATTCCCTCTGTCGCTGAACTACGCAGTGTCTCTGGTCTCCAAAGAGCCTCCAGCTTCCCCAGGGAGGGACTCCAGCCTTCCTGCACTTCCTCCAGCCCATTGTCCCTGCTACTCAGAATTCACGGGAACTCGGAGATAAGGCAGGAGTGGTGTGAAAGAAACAACAGATAAGTTATGCTTTTGTAGCTGATATCATTCACATACTCCTTTATCTTCAGGAATTCAAAGAGGAAATAAGGGAAAAAAATCTAGAAATACTGACATTTCCCTAGTGACAGTGTCAGTCTTGGGCTGGAGACCTGTTAGGTTGGGATCCAAATCCTTGAGATTTGTCTTTCCTAGACACAAAAAACCCCAACCCCAAAAAACCAAATATGCACAACAAAAAATCCAAAACAAACCACAGAATTTCTAGGAGCTGCTCACATTACTCTGGTTTGTACAATCACACCTGGGTGTGGATGTTCTCGAGTCCCTCTCTCTGCAATCCTGAGTTTCAGTTCTCATACACCAAATGGCAGAGAAAAAACAAGAGTCATGAGCAGCAGGAAAATCTTTAACCTGTTTATCACTATAATCTCTTCCAGTGCCTCAGAAACCTAAAGGTCCTTTCTAAAATAAAAGATTCATCTCTACACCCCTGGGTTTTCCAAGGGAAGGATTCCACCCAAGCTACTGACCATTTTTCCTGTCTCGATTACAAGATTCTGTAAGTTTTTCCCAATATAGATCCAGATCCCTATGAGAACAAAATACACTCTTTGGAGCTTTGTTTTCCTCTGGCTTTCCAAATAAACTCATGAAGCCTTCGAAAGGGTGATGGCAGCCTTTTGTTTGCCCTGCCTCTGGTGCAGGTTGGAGCAGATCAAATCCACTGATGGGGTAAGATCCTCCTTGCCCTGGGAGCAACAAGGTGCCCAAGGAGAGAGCACTGCAGGGTAGAGAATGTCAAGAGAGAGCACATCAAGAAGGAAGAGCAGCACAGAAGGGATTAGAGACCTTGAGGAAGAATGGGAAGCACGTTCTCAGCCGGGTTTCACAGGTCACATGAACTCCTGCCAAGAGCCCTGTGAAGACACAGCACAACCTGTTTCATCCCAGGACACTACTGAGCTCCTGCACAGAAAGTAGAGGGTAAAAAATGTGAAGGGTTGGTAAGTAGCTGTGTCCCATCTTGAAGGGATTTAACCCAGAACTGAGCCCTTTCCAGCCCCAGTCTCTGAGGATTTGCAGTTCAAGGTCAGGGCACTGTGGACACCCCCTCTCACCCAGCTGAGCTCAGCCCCCTGTGTACCCCAATCCAGGCCAAGAGTTTGTACAGACTGGACCTTAATAAAGTTCTATTTCTGCCCACAAGCCCTTTCTCCCACTCCACCAACCCGTGGATTACTCAGTTCGATGACCCCACATTATCTGGGACAGAATGGGTGTATTTTGAGCAGGGAGGTCTCCTCTTTCCATGCCCTTCCCTTGGCAGGTGTACATACCCAGGCATGTGCACACCACTGCCTTGCTGGTGTTAATACTGGCCCAGAAGTTTAGAGATAAGCCACACAAGTTTATCTTCCTGCCTAGAAACAGGAACAGTTACATCTCACTCATTCCCAGAAGGTTTGGGTTTTTTCCCCCCCAAAGACAGTGGCAGGGACCCAGCTGTGCCCAAACACGAGGGAGTGACCCGGCACAGACAAGATCAGGCACAGCCATGGTGTCATTTCACACGTCCTGGAAGCTGCCCAGCCCTCCCCTCACCCTCCCACACCCAGCTGGGTTCAGCACTGCCGACCGACTCCATCGATCCGTGATCCCCTCACTGCCACAATCCCTCCAGCCTGTTCTCGGAAGCTGCTGTAAGGCCTCTCCTTTCCCATTTAATGTTTGACTAGCTGATTATTCCTGCCTAATTCTACTAACTTGCACTTGGCACCTCCAAATTTTTCCTCCTTCCAAAAAAAGTTTACCAGTTTTGAACTCTGACCTCGTCCTCCCTTTTCCAACTTTCAAGCGGTGTGAAAATGTAACAGATAGAGCTTCCCCTGTCAGCCAGGCTGGGAGTGAGGGACAGCTCATACAGGTTTCCTCAGAACACACAAATGCAAAATCCCCACAAAGCAGCTTTGGACATCAACAACAGAAGGACGTGGAGCTGCTGGAGCGAGTCCAGAGGAGCTGCTCCAAGGGTTGGAGCCCCTCTGCTCTGGAGCCAGGCTGGGAGAGCTGGGGGGGTTCACCTGGAAAAGAGAAGGTTCCAGGCAGACCTGAGAGCCCCTTCCAGTCCCCTTTAGAGGGGCTCCAAGAGAGCTGGAGAGGGACTTGGGACAAGGGATGGAGGGACAGAAGAAGGGGCAATGGCTTCCCACTGTTGGAGGGCAGGGATAGATGGGATACTGGGAAGGAATTGTTGGCTGTGAGGGTGGTGAGGCACAGGTTGCCCAGAGAAGCTGTGGCTGCCCATTTCTGGAAGTGTTCAAGGCCAGGCTGGACAGGGCTTGGAGCAACCTGCTCCAGTGGAAAGTGTCCCTGCCCATGGCAGGGGGTGGAACTGGGTGAACTTCCAGGTCCCTTCCAACCCAAACCATTCCAGGATTCTGTGACTCTAAGCTAGGGGGAAAAAAAAAACTTGTTCACTCCCCCCTCAATTTTTCCAGGAATTGAAGCCAAGTTGATTATATGCATACATCCCTACCTCCTCCTATTTAAAACACTTTGGGGGTTTTCTAGTCTTCTTTCTAGCTCCTCAAATCCTCATAATTAACCACCAGTTCTGATACTGCTTCAGCCAAGACAACTCCCATCCCCCAGAACTGATCTGACAACATCCAGCAATGAAGTACTTCCAGCCCTTCCTGCACCACCTTTAGTGCAGAGTAACATCTTTACATCTTTGAAAGGCTTCAGGCGAGGAAATGTCTAGAACAGTAAACACCAAGTGGCTGCTCAAGTGGGAAGAAGTTTCCCTTCATCATCCAGGTAATTTCTGAAAGACACCACTCCAGTACCAACCTTAAATCACTGGGATGTGTCCTTTAACAGCTGCCTGACACAAGCTCTTCAGAAATTATGGCACTTAGGAAATAACTTCAGACTGAGCCACTCTGGTCTCAGTTCCACTGAGTCCACATAAATCACCTCCACGTGTGTCCCAAGGTTTCCCTACCACCAGTGCTACAGATTCAGCCTTAACCCACTGCTCCCACCAAATTATCCCGTAGAGATGTTCTCCTGACAAGCAGCATCAGCTGCTTTCCAAGTAAAGGACTTCAACACCAGGTTTCACAGCACATTTGGAAGGAAACCACATCCCATTTTAAAGGGCCAAATGCAATAACCATCCAGAAAGAGAACAGGAAGCACAGGCAGAACTTCAGAACCCCTTTTTCCACACAGGATGATAAATTAAGGCAGCCAAACCCCTCTTTCATCAAAATGACCCGACTTTAGATTAGCAGGACACCAGGGTTGGGTTTGGAAGGAGTCAAACAGGGCTTTGATGAAGACAGATTACTTACTGTTCCTTGCTGAGGACAGATGTGGCAATAGGGGGATGACACCTGTCCTTCTAAGTTGGACTCTGAAGCAATTTAAGAACACAGATATGACCCCCTTGAAGTGTGACAAAATCCAGCTGGACCTGCAGGAACTATTAAAAAGCCCTTTTCACGTACTGCAAGTCAATGATAAAAGCTCCAAGGTCTCTTGCTGCAGGATTGCCCTTTTAAAAGGCTTTTCACCAGAATTTAATTAACGTTCCCAGTGGCCCCTGTAATCCTAAAACCACTGTGTCATGCCCTTCCTAACCCAGATCATTAAGAATTAGCCAAAGGTAGCTCAACTGGAGATGTTCCCCACACTATCCCTTGTAGGCACCAGCAAGAGCTCACAAGGAATTTGCTCTGTAGGTTTGTTCACATATTCATTGCTAAGGAGCACGTTATCTGTGTGGGCAAATTGCCACATGTGTTCAGCCCCAAGTAAAATGTAAATACACCACCTTGGTAATTTTTTTTCCCCTTGACAACACTGGAAACATCCTGCACTCCCCAATTAATCTATGATATTACAGTATACCACAGCAGAACCAATGTTAGACAGAGGTATGTTTTCTGCTTAA